AGGTTACAGAATTCACGGACATTACTACAACACAGGCTTCCGCATACAGGTTTTATTTCAAATTCCTTCAGGTGTGGTCCATGCCCCTTATTTAGGGGGTGGGGATTGCGGTAGTCCATTTCAGTTCCTCATAATCTGAGGTTGTGATTTGGGGTCCTTACTTGTGGACAGCTGTAAGGGAAGAGTTACCATTAGTCCACATAGTAAGCAAGCCACCACCATGGTGAGCGCAATCTCATGACTGATTTCTCTGATCCCTGTATTACACTGGTTTATGGCTTTGGCACCCATTGTTCTGTTCCATGACTTTACTAGTAGCACCTCCCCCAGCTGTTGTCTTGTCTCCAGGTAGGTATTACCATCATGCACCCTCTTTCAGAATCAATGTCCAGGTAACTAGGGGTCAGGAGGACCCCTGTAAACCTGGCTATGTTCTGCTCCCCACCCTCGGAAGCATATAAATCTTTTAGGAAAGGATTCTATGATGGTTGCTTTTATTTGCTCTACAGGGGAGGGAAAGATCCTCACAACCTGTCCCAAGCTCATGACCAGTTCTACAGGGATGTCGGGGGTTCAGCTCCCAAAGTCTCATCAATCCTATGCTTTTCAGGGAAGGGGAGGAGGACTTTTCAAGACTGGGCCACTATCTCATAGTCTCTTCTTGCTTATGGGGATTTCTGGAGCACTGCAACCCACATTTTATCCCTCTTACATAAGCCAACTGCTTTCACAGCCCTAGGGCACCACAATAGTGCCACTACCCTCTGTTGTGACATACAGAATTGGAGGCTGTCCTAGTGCTCCCCACTCAGGTATTGGTCTCAAAGAGGAGGAAATGGATCTGCAGAAGACCATGCTAGCTTGTCTTGTGCTGGGGGGGGATGGAGGTTCCTGCCACCACTCCTCTCCAGCACCAAGTGAGAAAAGCAGGGCTTGGGGACACAACCCATCTGGTCTGCTATTGGATGAACAAATGCTGCTAAATGGCACATAACAGTCTGCAATTTTTAGAGAGCCAGCCAAGTGTTCTCCTCAGGCTTGAGGTACAGACTCCTGAACCTGGTCTGTGGACTACTGGTGCTCTGAAGACCAATTGCTGACAGGGTGAGCAGAACTGGTGCCAGAATGACATGGAATGGAAGAGCCAGAGCCAAGAGGTGGGGGGGGGGGGAGACACCGATTAACTTTTTAATGAGACAACACTCTAAAGGCAGCTAAAAGACATTCTTATTACTTTTCCATATGATCAATTGCTGCAGTTGCATAGGTATGTTAGACTGCACAGGAAGAGGGTGGTAATGTGATCACAAAAGAGCAGAAGTGGTTCAAGAGAAGAGTCTCTGTTAAGACATTGGCCACGTTATGAAATATTAGATCAGGAATTCCAAGTTATTTCTAGGGAACCCTAGGTACTAAAGGTTCCTATAGACAATCTCAGTGAGTATGTTTAATTAGGAGTCTGAAAGCTGGTCAGATTGTACATATGAAATGAGGTTTTCTGTATAGCAAGTCACTGGGAAACCTAGAATAGCCTCAAATAGATTCAAGCTGCTGCCATAATTTTATTATACCAGGAGACAAAGATAGCAGGTACGAGTATTGGTAAGCCCCTTTTGAGGGCCACATCAAGCCATAGTGAAGCAACAAACCCATATATCAAAACTCCAGTAGGTACAGGCAGCCACCCACAGCATACTGTGACTTTTAGTGGTAGTCAATTTGTACAAAAAAATACTTCTGAAAAATTTGATCTATTGTTACAAGAAACATCAAGATTACTCTGTTTTTAGTTTTACTTTGTCTATTCAACAATACTTAAGGGTACCTTCTTACCCTTATATATTCACACCATTTACCAGGTCTTTCACTCAGCAATGGGGGGGGCTTTCTAGAGTGGGAAAATGGGATTGTAAAAAAAAAAAAAAAAAAAAATCAGACGTTGTATACTTGGAACTACTCTAGTCATTTGAAAATGATTTGACTAAGTTAGACAAGGTAAGTGAGGGAATATCTTTTACTGGACCAACTTCTGTTGGTGGAAGGTACAAGCTTTTGAACTCACACAGAGTTCTTCTTCAGGTCTGGGGAAGGAAGCACAGCAGTGGTGCTGGAACAATTTTTATAGTGGGGGTGCTGAAGGCAGAAATCCTGTATTCAAGGCAGGGGGTGTGGTGGCACCTCCAGTTCCAGCACCTATGAAGCAGAGAGTGTCTCAGCTAAATAAAAGTTGAAACAGTTTATTAAAATAGAAGAGGCAATACAAATGACCACCTCCAACATGTGTCACCCCTTCTACTTAACTATCTGTCCCAACTTTTATTTAGCTCAGACACTCTGCTTCCTTCCCCAGACTTGAAGAGCTCTGTGTAAGCTTGAACCTTTCACCAACAGAAGTTGGTCCAATAAAAGGTATTATGTCACCTACTTTGGGTCTCTCCTATCCTAGGACCAACACAACTACAACAATACTGCAAACTGAGTAAGTCAGTAGTGAAGCTTTAAATGTTAAAGCCTACAAACACTACAAGATATAGTGCCGAGTACCCTAAAGTAGCCTGACTTCATTGTGATAAGCATTGCACCCAAAACCAAGTGTCTGCAGAATCAAACCCTAAAATTGCAATCCTGCCCACTTCCAAAGAGGTAGGGGTTCTGAAGGGGATAGGGTTTAACAAGCCAGATGTTTCTCTTCACTCTTATCACAGTTCTAGTCTCAGGATCAGAGAAACAGCGAGTGGTGTAGCTTAGTGGCCATCATAAAAAACACAATGAATAATTCAAAGAACTTTTGTAATGTAGATGGGAATCTAAAACATGGCACCTTTAGACCAGTGACAGCTTTATTGGGAGTGCCTAATCATCAGGTGAGTGTAATAGATAGGATCTGAATTTCAACATGGTAGTGGAACAAGTTGTGGGGAGGAGAGCACACCACTACACAACTCCACTCTTTTCAACAAGCCACTTGAAGAGGGTGAGGAGGATTTACTAGTTAAATACACATAAAAGTCACAATTTTATATTGAAGAGCCCATAAGCTAAACTTTTAAAGGCACAGGTCTTTCCAATAAACAAAAAGCTATGATGTCAGATTAGCTGACTTTTCCCACTGACTGTGGAACATTCTTTGGAGGAAAAAAAAAAAAGTTAGTTCATTGAATTCATGGAGTGAGAACACAGACTCAACAGCTGTTTGTGTTTGGGTTTTAGATTCTCTTGAAGTAACTTGTATTTCAAAAAAAGACACAGTCTAGGGAGCAGTTAAACTGGCTTGTAAAATACAGTATATAAAAAAGTCTACAAGGAATCTGTTTGACAGACAGGCTTGTTGTGCAATTATGCAGGCTGGCATCAGGATTTGTTTGTTTTATTCTTCATCTCAACTGTTCCTAATTAAGGCTCTCAGCTACTTCACTGATGAGGGGCCACAAGTACCTAGATAGATTCTTTTCAACAGCCCAATGCTTCTTTCAAAGAAAAAAAAATTAACTGCCCAGACCTTTGGGATTTTGAAAGCAAGTGCTTTACTATCAAACAATACAACTTCATTTAGAAGAACACTTATGCATATCTCAAAACCTTGTGTTTCCTCCAACCTTCAAAATTCCTGTCTCCAAGGATTTATGATATGCACTGGATCCAATCTGCCACATTCTAACTGCTGCTGTTACACATCTGGTCATAAAAGGGCTACAAGGTGCAGCTGAACACAAGGACACACTTTTCTTAATGTGGCAGCTACAGTTTTTCCACAGTACTGATTGGTTTTTTTTCTTAAGTGGGTGTATATTATTCAGACAGTAATCTGGTTTAGTACAACACTTCATTTAAAAAAATGAAGTCTTATTGCTATACTCAGAGTAGAGATTCCTACATAAAGGTTTCTAGATCTTACCCCTATTTAGGATGGTAGTTAGATTAAGTATTAAATTAAATACATTTCAGACCAATCAGCAAAAAGTGCATGTGGACAGTGCACCCAACATGCTTACATACAGGTTAAGTTTTTCCACTTACCCAGAATTGTGTTTTTATTGCAGCATTGACTTGAGAACAGCTACTGTTTTAGGGCCTTAGAATTCAGAGTCATTACCCCAATCTAGGGGCTGCAGTGGTAACATGTCAGCTGGAGGACCATACTTAGAAGAGAGGTGTTCTCCCCCAGAACAGTTTAATACTTTTGTAAGTGAAATTATCTATCCCAATAAGAGCCAACCATAGATTAAAAGGCAAAACTAGACTCCTAGAGGAAGAAATTTGGGCTGAAGGCATCTAGCTTTATTGCAGGGATTCATTTAATCCCTACTTGGAAACATAATAAGAAGAGTCCTAAAGCTATATTCTGGGAGCCAAGGGGTCCTATTAAACGCAAGACTGGCAATATAAAAATACAGCATATTAACTTGCTCCTCTCTTTTGCACTGAGCCCCGACAAATGCATGCCCCAGTGTTTTGGGTACTCAGCTTGTACCTGGGCTCTTGATTTTAGGGATCTTCTGAACAGTTATCAGGGACCACACAGCAGGCGTCTCTCCCCGCGTGTGTAGCAGAACTCCAGAGGTAGCGATGGGTCAAGCCCAGCAGGGCCAGTGCTAGAAGCCCCCGGGCTCTGTCAGAGCAAGCCCCCGAGAGACGCTCCAGCGCCCGTTTGAGCAGAGTGGGGAGCCACTCTGGGGTACGAGGCAGACCACAGCTCACGGGGCACGTCTTAACGCGGGGCGGATCCGCGGTGCATCCCAGAAACAAGGAGCGATGCAGGACCGCAGCTGAAGTTCCCAGGCAGGCACCCGAGCACACAAAAGCCCGTAGTGTACCTGACAAGCATGACAGGGTCAGTGCGGGGCAGGGGGGATTTTCCAAGCGGGAATGAGAGGCGCACCTGGCTGAGAACCTGGCTGTGACCTGACATAATGACTCCCTTGTGCTGAGCGACCGAGCGCGCGCGCTGGGGAAGGGGGCGCGAGAGAGATCCCGGGGAAAAGTCAGAAGCTCGCACTTACCCGCGGCCCAGTGGCCCTGTGGCCCTGAACCTGAGGAAGATGCGGCGGCAGCAGCAGCACCAGGAGCAGCTGGGGAGTCACCACGCTGCACCAGGGTCTGGAGAGCATCGTCACTTGGGGGCTGGGGGCGACAGGCACGAGACAACCCCCCTTCCTTCCCTTCTCTACTGGCCGGAGCGCAACTTGCTGCTGGAGCCCTGCCCTTAGCCTGCGGGACAACAGCCGCCCTGAGAAGCCAGAGGCAGTTTCTTGCCCTAGCCGGGGCGTGCGGGGCACTTGAGCAGCCCAGCTCTGCCCCCTTCAGCGGCACCAGGTTAAATGCCTGAGCCCTAGCCATTGGGATCCCCGTTATAAAGACCTTGCCTGGGCGGGGCCAGGCAGGACTGACTGAGTGAGACACCCATAACAGCGGAGCTGCTGCTGGGCAAGAGCCAATGACAGGGAGCGAGGGGTGTGCCCCCTCCCCTTCACTACGGCTCCTCCCGGGCGGGAGGGGACAGCGGGCTTCTCAGGTTGCCCCCGGAGGCTGCATGTTTGGGTTCCAGCTGCAGAGATCCAGCGTGAGGAGCAGCAGGAATCACGCGGGGGGGACGGGAGACACAGGCGGGTTCAAAGCACCGTGCACTTCAATCGCTTCACCTCTGGCACTAGCAACACCTGGGATTAGCTAAACTAGCAGCGCCCTAAAGAGCTCTGTGTCCCCCAGTGCTGTTTGTTCACCCCTCTCCCAGCTCCCGCAAGAAAGAGGGAGAGGCCAGACCGTTTCTTTGGTTTACAATCAGTTTCACTTTCCAGCTGTCCTGTGCTGACACAATGCTGCAAGGCTTACAGGAGGGCGGTGAAGCACTGGAATTCGTTACCTAGGGAGGTGGTAGAATCTCCATCCTTGGAGGTTTTTAAGGCCCGGCTTGACAAAGCCCTGGCTGGGATGATTTAGTTGGTGTTGGTCCTGCTTTGAGCAGGGGATTGGACTAGACGCCCTCCTGAGGTCTCTTCCAACCCTGATATTCTATGAAGGGTGATGGAGGAGCGAGGTGCTTACATTTCCATTTCACTTACTTGTGATGGCCTAGAAACCACCATATGGGGTTTAGGAGCTAGTGGAAGTGTCAGGTGGTTTAGCAATCAAAAGTGCAATTGCCCCCCTCACACACACAGAGAAATATATTTCCCCCCTCCCCCCATATCTTCCTCAAATCCTAAATCTTTATAAAGTCCAGTCTTTGCAGGAAGAAAACTTAAAACAAATTCTTACAGGAGCTAACAACCAATGGGAAACCAGCCATTCCTTCCCCAAAGCAGTTTCTCCATCTGCCTGGTCTTATAATGTGTCCTTTCTTCTATCTGAAAATCTGATTCCACCTTCAGTCCTCAGCCCTGCTTCTTCCCCCTTACACCTTGGGGAGGTCTGAGCTGGGAGTTAAATCCCTACTGCTGGAAACCATGAGACATCTACTCCCTGGGCACTGTTTAGTAAACGTTGGGCTTTACAAAGCTCATATTTTGTGTCATATTAGACCTAACATCTTCTCTTACTCTCAGTGCTAGTCAGGGTCACTCGTATGTCCTCCTTCTGGGGGAACAGAAAGCAGAAGCCACTCCAGCAGTTTCAGAATGGATAGTCTCTCATCACCCACCTATTCTGTTCAGTAGAGGTTGGATACACCTGTAAGCAGATAGGCAAATCTGGTTTACAAAGTTATGCTCAAAGCCAGCGTATTATTCAATTGCCAAGCATTAGTGGTGCACTGAGTGCTGTATAAACATAAGACAGGGTCCCTGCCCTCGAGGAGCTCACAATCTAATTCTAATTACAGGAACAGGTAAAGGTCAAAGTCCTTCTTCTGACCTGCAAAGGCAGCCATTCATCCCAGTGCCATATCAGGGAAAGGGTAGGAGCCTCCAGCTCTGCAGGGGCTGGTAATGCTCAGAGACATCAAAGAAGTGATGTGCTTGGTGACTCTGAGGGGGGTAGTGTACCAACTGCATCACTTTCCACTACTCCCTACAGGCCTATTAACCGCACAAAATGAATACCAGATTCTGTGCACTTCACCACCTAGCCAAAGGGAGAGGTGATTGTAGGGGGGCAAGGGTATCAGTCAGTACAGGGGAGCTGCAGTCAGAAAAGATCAACCAATGGAAGTGTAGGGCAATATCTGCTCTCTTGTTGGGAGCTTGCCTGGGACATCCCATGAATTAGGCTTTCCTGTGTTGGTTTCTTCCTCTAATCTTTGTGAGTTTTAAAACTCAGTTTTAAATGGTCTATCCAAGTTTGATGTACATTCATGATACCCCACACACTGCTGGTGCTATACCAATATATAATAATTACCACTGTTCTTGAAATTATAATCAGAAAGCCCTTTGCACCAAGCAGGTTCCTGGGATTGGATGGAAATGCACAAGACATGTATGATCATTTCAGTAGACTGTTTTAGCTTATTCAGTGATCTTATAAGAACCACCCAAAAGGTTCACTAGTTTGACATGGAAAGATGCAGGTACCACCCTCATGAGAAAACCCTGCTATCTGGTTGAGATCCTGTAAGTGTGGCATCTCACTGGAAACTACACAGACTAGGGTAATTAGCTGAGTGGTTACTTCAATTTTTTTTAAAGAAGCATTATTTTAAAAACCCTAATACAGAGAAATATTACTTTAGCCTAGACTGGGTAAGCAGTATGGCATTCACACAGAACTTTGCCCGTACTCGTTTTTGTTCCAGCCCAGGGACCCCACCCAGCTCTGCCAATATACCATTATCTTAACCTGCACCACTCTCTCCTATTCCATTACTAGGTTTTGGCACAGCTCTGCCAGTTCTGGTTAATCCTGACCTACAGCATCCCCTGCTATACCAGTCCAGAGCCTTTCCTGTCTAGAGCACAATTTATGCCATTCCATGCAGTAGTTGTGTGCTGTGAACAAAGACCTAACAGGGGCAAGGTTTGAGTTTAACATTCCTCTCACTTTACACTTGTGTAAATCAAGAGTGATTCCATTGAAGCCAGTGAAGTTACACCAGTGGAAATATGGTATAAGCAAAGGGAGACAGGACCTATTATTGTTTCATTGAGCAGGGGAATACAATAATGTATTCCTTCTCTATACTGGTATCCATTTAGATCCCATGACACTAGAGTAGCAGCATTAAAAATCATGGCTAAATTCCAGTGTGGATAGCTACATTCTGCCAGCCTGACATTCCTCCTGCAATTTCAGTTGAATATGGGGTGGTATTCTTTGCTTCTGAGCTAAACTGTTGTGTAGTTTCTTGGGAACTCTTAAACACTTGTTTTGTTCCACCTTAAAAATGGCTGCACCTCACTAGGCGGTAAAGTGCTTCCTATATATCCCACTGGCAAAGCACGATGGGATTCTCCTGCTAGATAAATATTATTTATATTATATTCAATAACATCACTGTGGAGAGATGGTAACTTTGTTAATCCCCCATAAAGAATTATAACAACCCTGGTGGCACTGAGGGTGGTGATACCCTGGTAAAACTCTCCACCATAATCTCAAAAGGGTCAAATTCTTTTGTGTTTAAATTTTTTTCTGATCATAGTGGCATGTTATGTACAACTGCTTCCAAAGTCAATATTCCCTATTACTGATGATCATCTGCTGTTTCTCCCTGATGATATACACCTTTGCAGATATTGGAGAAGGCTGTGTACAGCAGGTTTTCAGGGCCGGCTCCAGGCACCAAGCACCCAAGCTGGTGCTTGGAGCGGCACCTGGAGGGGGGCGGCGCGGCGCTCTGGCCCCCGGGGAGAGCGGGGCCACAGCCGGCTCGCCGCCCTCCCCCCAGCGCTCTGGCCGCCCTCCCCCCCGCGCCCTCCCCCCGGCCACCGGGGGGAGAGCGGCGAGCCCCTGCCGGGGCTCGCCGCCCTGCGCTCTGGCCGCCGAGGGGAGAGCCGAGCCCCAGCCGGGGCTCGCCGCCCTGCCCCCGGCGCTCTGGCTGCGGGGGGGGAGAGAGCCGAGCCCCCGCCGGGGCTCGCCGCCCTGCCCCCGGCGCTCTGGCCGCCGGGGGGTGAGCCGTGCCCCCGCCGGGGCTCACCGCCCTCCTTCCAGGGCTCCTGCCGCCCTCCCCCCCGGCGGGACAGCGGAGCCCCCGCCGGGGCTTGCCACCCTCCGGCCGGAGGCTTTTTTGCCTTGGGCGGCAAAAAAGCCAGAGCCGGCCCTGCAGGTTTTAATATATTCATAGAGCTTAAGGCTAGAAGGGACCACTAAATCATCTAGTCTGAACTCTTGTCTATCACAGGCCATTAAATTTCACACACTTATCCCTGTACTGAGCCCAATGACTTACTTGTCTAAAGCATGTCTTCCAGAAAGGCACCCAGTCTTGATTTGAAGACATCAAGAGAGAGAATCTATCACTTCCCTTAGTGGTTTGTTCAAATGGTTAATCACTCTCACTGTTAAACATTTGTGTCTAATTTGAATTTGTGTAACAGAATTTGATGTGCATATATTATACTGCTGTGTCATCTGAAAAAAATCCCCAAGGAAACAAGTTAGACTAATGGAATGATTCTTGCCGTTTAATTGTCCACTAGTTCCCCAAGGATGCCTGGCAAATGGCAAGAGGCCTTGGGACATCAGGGAGTTCCATATGCACTAATGTGCCTAGGGGAGTTGAGTGCCTACCTCCTTCCCTTAGGCTCTTTTGAAAATCCCAGCCATCACTTTTAAGGCTGTGGGGCCAAATTCTCTGCTGACACAGCTCCACTTCAGTCAATGGTGTTACACCAGCAGAGAGCTTAGCCCAGGTAGTTAACTGAAAACTTCTAAGAAAGAGAGGTCTGAAATAATAAAGGAAGATAGATAAATGGTTGGATCCTGTATAACAAGTTCTAGCAAGCCCAGTATCCTGATGCTTCACAAAGAATTCATAAACCCCATCCCAACTACATAGTGTTGTTGGAGGTGGGATTCTAAATCAGTACAATTTGGGCTATTTGGCACATTACACCCAATATGCACCTTACATTATTAAATAATTATCTCAAAATGTGCATATTTGTGTTGAGGATTATTATTATGGTAACAGTCTGCATACAATCTGTACAGTGTTTTAAAATTGTTGTACAGTACAAGATAGTTATTAGCTGTCTTGATGACAGTTGTTTGGGGAAAATGTTTAATTGGACATATGTCTGTGTTACATGACACAAAAATTACTATTGTGATTTGAATTGCATTGGAATAGACTGCAGAACCTTCACAGGACTTGTCTATTGACCTATGTCTAGTAAAAGCCAAAGCCACATTTGCTCGTGTTT